AGTAAGCTGGTGAAGCGAATAAGAGCTACACTACTGCAAAGAGGTCAGTCAGTTGAACTTTCTAAATTTAGGAAAGGGTTAAGTGAGGCGCAAGTTATCTATGCCGAATTTAAAGATATTGTTGGTGGAATTAAGGGGTTTGCTATTCTTGGTGAAAGTTTGGACGAGATTGAAGGAGTCATACAAGAAACCGAACGAGAGTGGTCCACACTTATCGGTCCGCACGAAAACGGAGCTTTTCAAAAACGCTCTTCAAACCGGAGGAATTCTTTCTCAAATTTATCCAGCGTAGTGTGGATGGGACCTGAAACCTCGATTCATCAAAAAATATGAAAGCGCCATGCGCTCTATTTCACTCACGTGACCAGCAGCCATGCACATTTACTGGAACAAAGGAAAGTGTTCACCTAAGAAAAGAGTTCCGTTCCTACAGGATTGCATGGTTTGGTACGCCAACATGGCCCCCATTTCATTGTTTTGGGCTACCAATATGGCTGCTGTGACGTCATGTGAAAACACTCCATGAGGTACAGGTAAAGTCTGTGTCAGGCGAAGTGCTCCATACCGCCACAGCTTGCTCACGTTTCCTGGCATGATGCGACCAGGAGTATCTCTAGCTCTTTAGCATCCCGGAACATCAGTCGACCATCTCAGGGTTACCCTCAGCTTAATTACTTCGGTACGCACTTTTGTTATTCAACTTTCATACACTGTACGAATTCCGATTTTCTGATTGGCTGATTTGTACCACGTGATACTGGGTTGTGACGAAACAACCTCCTTGACGTCATTATCGTGGTATAATAGCCGTTGTGTAAATTCAACACACCACTTCCATTACACCATAGTGGTTTCAATGCAGTGTTTCTTCGTGCGATGTATTCAATTCGATTAATTAAAATGTTAACGCACTTATTGCTCGTGAATTGTCGGGATTTACCCGCACGAGTTCACTAACAATGAACGAGAAATTCTAATACCGCACGAGGCTTCGCCGAGTGCGGTATTGAAAATTTCGAGTGTATTTTTAGTGAAAGAGTGCAGTTAAATCCCGATAATTTACGAGCAATGAGTGCGTTAACCTGTAAATGTACCACACCTGGGTAGAGAAAGGCACGGTAAGGGCGCAGTGATGAGAGTGCTCGCCTTCCACCAATGTCCATGGCCTCGGTACGATGCCGGCCCGGAATCACAAGTGAGTTGAATTTGTTATTGGTTCTCGCCTCACTCCGAGGGTTTTTCTTCCATTCCTTGCGACTAGGATAGTGGAAGTGGACAAATTGGAATTTGGAGATTTTGGTCGGAAATTAATTAATACGCGACTCAGGCAATTTCTGCGGCTTCCGAAAACACGCGTAATATTGGTCTCATACGATTGCCCATGCTTATTACATCTATTTTGAAATCATTGGTGATCCTTGCAATCTGATTGGCTTTCAGCAGTGCGATTTATTCACTAATTATATAGCTCCATCGAAATCCAATATTGCCAACAGACCTAATTTTTATTAATTTTTGCAAACTGTCCAAATTTAAAATAAATCGGATAGTTTTTGTTCGAAAGTTCAGTTCAGCTTTGAACAAACTGTCCAATTTCAGAAAAATCTGGATACTTTCCATCAACCAATGAAATGTCAAAATAAATAAAAGAACCGAGTATTGGCCAATCAGGTTGCAGCTATTATCACTGCCATCAAGCGTCACTGAGCGATTGTAGCTCGCTAAGTTTTCTTATGTTTTGATAATGGCGGAATTTTCCGACTTTTCTCTCCACATTTTTGACGTCTAAACTTTCAAATGGAGTCTTCAGCTAGGTTTCCAGAGATAGATGCTACTGATTTACTC